ACCAATTTTGAATATCTTCCTTATGCTGCTTGGTCTTCAGTCCCTTGCCACGGAGACATCATTTCCTACTGCCACTCTCGGCAGTACCAGCCATGGCCACCCTACGCAGTGGCTTTAGGACTGAGTCACTGAGGAAGATAGAAGAAGGATGAGATAAGATAGCATGCACTGTTTTGAGTGTGTAAATGGCTTACACAATTATTGGACAGCACATTTCATTATCTTTCATACTTTTCCTTCATCTAACACTTGAGGTTCATAGCTTTTTATCTTTCCATAGCTACACTTACTGGGTGCTATGTGAGATTTAAGAATGGGCCAGCCAGTGACGTGGGTTAAGGTGCCTGAATTCCACATATCCAACCTTGTGTTTTGAATTCCACACCTGGCAGCTTGAGAAACACTGTGTATGTGGGTGTGTGCGTGCGTGCATGCCCAAAATTTCCACAGGAGGGAGCACTAGAAGAGAAGGGATGACTCACTCTCTCTTTCTCTTGTAAGCTCACATGCCCTCTGGCAATTTTTTTTTAAAAAAGTATTTAAAAATAAGAGTACATTTGATATACCCATTGCTTTAGGAAGGACATCCAGATTACTAACACGTTCTTAGGCCAAATCTTCTAGGTTCCATTTCTTTCTCTCCCTTTGAAACAGTCATTTATGATCTTCTTGTCCTGTTATGACAAGCTTGCAGTCTGTAGGGTTCTTGCTCTTTTCTAAGTGCTCTGCTTTTCCACTCTGGAATTGTTACAGTTTTTCTCCTTATCTTTTATACTTTTAAATTTTATTGTTAAACATGGGTATTTTTCCTTTTTTTCTGAAGAAAATATTTTTCAACTATTTTTTCTCCTGCCTTTGTTTTACTTCTTTTCCTCTGATATTGTTTCTTGAACTTCTATTTCTTTCCTTCTTTGTTTTTCTTTCTTTCTTTCTTTCTTTCTTTCTTTCTTTCTTTCTTTCTTTCTTATTTTGGGAGGAGGGAGATTTTTTTAGGGCATGTGTACTCACTGGAGAGAAAGAAAGAGACAAGAGACAGTGAGAAGAGTAATTAGAAATCACGTCCTTCCCCTACAGGGGGATGACCATGCCTCAGTCCCTTCTCCTCCATTCTCCTGGGATCTTAGGTGCACACACACACACACCTGGCATGATTTTCAAAACTCTGGATCTAGGACTTGAACAGTTGTCAGCTGTATGGGAGTCCAGTGACGTAACCATTATGCCATCTGCTGGCTCTTTGAACTCCTATTTCTATCACTTTATCTTTTAGTTGTACTTTCACATTTTCTCTCTATTCTTTCCTATGGTTCTCCGGGGAAATTTCTCAATCTGACCTTCTGGCCCTTGAATTCTTTCTTCAGTTGTACCTTTTCCCCGAGAGGTTTGTTTTATAGAGTGTGTGCAGTCACCAGAGAGACAGAAAGCGAGAAATCAGCGCCGGGGGATGGCCTTGCCGCAATCCCTTCTCCTCCATTCTCCTCTCGGGATCTTGGGCACGCACGCACACGCGCCTGGTGTGAGTTTAAGCCACTGGGTCCAGGACTCGAACCACAGTCAACTACATGGGAGTCCAGTGACATAGCCATTACGCCAACTGCTGGTCCCACTTCAGTTTATCTATTACTGTATCTATCTACCTACCCTATCTATTGGCATATTTCTTTCGATTACCTTTTGCATACCTATTATTTTTTCTGATTTTAAATTTGTGGGTTGCTTTTTGTTTTATATTGGTGCTTTTCGGAGTTTAATTGCAATGCTTACTTTAACTTTTTTAAAAATGAGAGTGAGAGTGCACATGGCGGGGGATTTCTGACAGGCTCTCCCCATCATGACCCTTTCCCCAGCCTCCCCGTTGGCTAGAATGACAGGCACGCTCCCCTCACCCAGCCGGTCCGCACTGGTCCAGAACACGAGCCTAGGTTCCCACGTGAACCAACTTCATGTGGTGATGTCCTTCCTCTTCTACCACCATGGCTGGGCCTGTGCTGGTTGTTTTAAATTCCAGCGTGACTACTTCTGGTGCTATGCATGCTTGTTGTATTAGCTTTCTCCTCTCGCGTTGTGGCCCCCAGCATCTGGGCACTTTACTGTGGCCATTCGTGTTGCCAGGGATTGGCTACCTTTCTCACGACTTATATGTGGACAGAGCTGAAGGTCAGGCCCAAGCTTTCCGGGTCACTGTGATGAGAGCATCCAGGTGGCACCAGAAACTATGAACCTATTCTAGACCATCTTCGTTTTCAGCAGTTTAACATCATCCATGTGCAGGGTGTCAATGTTTTTAGTTGCAGCTCTAGAAGGAGACAACCTCTTAGTGTAATTCATCACCCTTGGGAGTTTGGATGAGAGGAATACAGGCTAATCATAGGTTTGTTCAAGCCTGTTCCCCACAGGGTCTGATCCCAGCAAAAATGGGAAGGCCTGCCTAACCCAGTTTCTGTTCTAATTATGAACTCCTCTTTGTTCGTAGTTTATCAACACACACATTTTTACTTAAGCTACAGCATTATGTATACCCTTCAATATCCTATTCTTTGATTGACAGTGTTTCTGTGTTTTCATGGCCCTTGTACATTTCAACAGACATATATTCTACCATAATTTTCCAAGTAATATCCTTGTTTATTTATACTGAATGTTTATTGTTTTCTTTAATCGTTATTATGGATGACTGTAAAGAGTTGAATTATTCCTGTAAGAGGAATTCCCAAAGAAGAGCATTGCTGTTGCTATTGCTGTGAAGAGTAATATTACCTTAGCATTGGGCTGTTTAAATTTGGAACGCCAACAGCAGATGTGTCATTAAAGTACAAGTTTACCCAAGATTTTATAGACATCCATGATTAAAATTTAAAGTGTGATCCAGTGCTGATTCTAGCGAAGGAAAGCATGCATGTTATTTTTCGGACGTTGGTATGGAGTAATACAACAGCAAAGAGACTGGGATCAGCACGTGTGAGGATGTGAACGAGGACATGAGACAACACTTTCTGCTACGTTAGTAAGTCATTCTTGGGACCAGCATAGTAATGGCTATGTTCTGGACTCCCATGTAGTTGACCTTGGTTCGAGTCCCGGACCTGCTGGCTTGAACTCACACGGGGTGTGTGTGCGTACATGCCCAAGATTCTGAGAGGAGAATGGAGGAGAAGGGATTGTGGTGAGGCCATCCCCCCTGGGGGATGATTTCTCGCTTTCTATCTCTCTGTCTCTCTCTGTCTTTCTGGTGAGCGCACACAGCCTATAGCAAAAACCTCTCTCAAAAAATAAATAAATAAATAAAAGCAAAAAGTCATTGTTTGGAACTTGTCTTGGCCCAGTGGTACATAAAGAAGTCCTCCTGTCATTTGAAGAGATCCAGTGTTCATGGAGATCCTTATTAAGTGTGCAGATTTGTGCTCATTTTCCCAGATCTCCATGTCTCTTCTAAATCAGAGTTTTAGGCATCAGGAGGTAGAAGAGGGCAAAAAAAAAAAGAGATATATTTCCATATAAATGTCTAGGAACTTTCAAAGAAGCATCAGAAAAAAATGTTATTGAAAGCTGCTATCCAAAAGAGAGTCAAATAGAATCAAACCTCCAGAAGCAAAAACGAAAACAAAATTATAAGTCAGAGAACTAACATAATAGTTGCCACTGTGGTTGTCTGGCGTTGAGAGGTTATAGGCTGTGTTAAATTGGAGTGGGAATATAACAGCCTCATGGTGACAAAAGATATGGTTGCCTATGGGGGCAGAGAGTTGGAACGAAGACCTCTGTGTAAAACCAGGACCATGGTGTGGAAGTGGGAAGACTAGAAAGAAATCCACCCACTTGGTAGAGGCAATCTTTCTTCTGCCTGAGCTTTGAATAATAAAAAGAATCTGTCTTTAAAAATCAAAAACCCTGCCATTGTAGTACAAAACTCCAAGCCAAACGATTAGCATAACTGTTGTCCTCAAGCCAGAGATGTCCTATGATGCCTGGCAGAAGCAAATGCAATGTTAGAAAAATATGTACCAGAAACGCTAAACAAAAGAAAAATGGAATAATTATGTTAATATAAAGCAGGGTGGGGAGAGAAGATGTTCAGAAAACAAATTGAGATCGAAATGGAATAATTCGTCAGAAAGATATAGCAATATTAAACTCATATAGATCCTAACAAACTGGTCTGAAAATACCTACATGAAGACAAAATTTTACAAGATTGCCAAGATAAGTTGACAAAGTTTATATTTTTGTGAGAAATCAACATGTTTTGATAATCAACAGAGGAACGATGTACAATAAATAGTAAATTTGTAACCATACAATTTTCAGGCTTGGTCTGTTGACCGTATCTGTGGAATGCTACACTCGTCCAATAGGGAGTATATACTCTTCCATGTGATATTTACACAAAGTCCTATCCTCATTTATCAGACGCAGTAACCTACAGGGTCACAAAATGAATCTCATGTAATATCAATGAATCAATAGAATACAGACTTGTTTTCTGTCCATAACTGAATTAAATTAGACCTTGTTATGATTGGAGTAATGGTTTGTGCCCCAGAGGTACATGTTTTGAAATTTGGTTGAAGTTGGAAGTGGTGGGGTCATAATGGAGGCTCTAGTTTTGTGAACAGACCTTTGTTGTGTGTGCAAGTTCTAGCTTTCAGGAGAAGGGGCTAGCTCCCTTGAGAGCAGATTATTACACAGTTGACAGCAGTTCAAGTCCTGAACCTGAATTGAAACACACCAGGCACTTGTGTGTGTATGCCAAAAATCCTGGGAGGAGGAGGGATTGTGGCATAGCCATCCCCCAGGGAGGCACACATGCCCTATAGCAAAAATCTCTCTTAAAAAATTGTTTTTTAAAAAGAGAATTGAAAAAAATACGTAACTTTGGTTATCTGGAGAAAATCAGTTGTGTGGGATTCTTTTGTTATGATAATGAATAAATAAATTATAATATTTTAAAGAAAAATACAACAGAATAAAAAGAAACAAACATCTTTATTTTTTTTTTCCAGAAGTAAGAACTGTCAGCATGCAAGTTCAGACAGTCACACAGTTCAAAACAGTCACTAATGTTGTTGGACGCGTAAAGGGCCTGACATCTCCAGGTAAGGAGGGTTACTTAAAATCCATATTGTATATAAAACCTCATAAAGAAATGCTCTATAATAATTTAATAACATAGTTAAATATCCTACTTTACTATAACTAGAAGGTTATGCCACGCTGAGTAGATAAATGTAAAATTAAGAAACAATTTATTCTTTTTTAGAGAGATTTTTGCTATAGGACGTGTGTGCTCGCTGTTCAGAGAGAGAGAGAGATGAGAGACAGTGAGACATAAAGGAAAAAATCACCCTCCAAGGAGGATGGCCAAACCACAATCCCTTCTCCTCAGTTGTCTTGGGATTTTGGGTATGCACGTACACTCCCGCGGCATGAGTTTTAAACTACCTGGGCTGGGATTCAAACTGCGATCAACTATGTGGGAGTATAACAATGGAACCATTATGCCATCTGCTAGTCCCAAGTCTTTATTCTTTTTTCTACTATATTTTTTTTCAAAAATAAGCCTCAGTAGAGGGTTTGGTGGAAGGGGGTTGAGGAATAAAATAAGAAACAGGTGATTTTTAAACTTGCCGATGTTCTTTTTAAAAAATTCATAATAGTGCCATCAAAATTTTTATTCAAGAAAAGACATTTTTAAATAGAAAATAGTTTCATTTTTAATGACTTTTTCAAATACATTTTTGTCTCCAAACATAATTGTTTAATGTTAATCTATCCCACTTCTGATAATTTTACACAATGTTTGCATGGCTTTTGGCTCTGAAGATTCTTTTGAAAATAATCACTTGGTTAGGTTTTAAATAATTTTATATCTTATTAAGGATCGATGATGGAAATTAGGCTGAAAAAGTAAAGTGAGCTATCACCACTCAGGGGCATGGCATGCCGCAGACCCTTCTCCGTTCTCTTCCTGGAATTTTGGTCACCTGTGCACATGTGCCGGGTGTGCTTTTCAAGCTGCCAAGTGCAGGACTTGAACCAGGATCTGCCATGCTGAAGTCCAGTGCCTTAACCACTATGCCACTTGCTAGCTCCCTCAGCTAACTCTTAAAAAATTCATAAAAGTATTTATTTTTCTCTGATTTCCTTACACTAGGAGCATTTAAAAAATTGATGATCATGTGTCTGAATTCAAAATAGAAATGAATTTATAAATTGTTACTACTGCATTTCAACCATCTCAATAAATTTTCATCATAAAGATCTTTCATTGAAGCACTAGAATATTTATCATCATTGTTGCACTTACACATCATTACTGGAAAATCCACTTGCACAAAATTATACTAGATTTGCAGTAAAGGAAATGAAATCAACAGCAACAATTAAAAGACAAAACTTTTAAATTTTAAATCAATTTTATTGTAGGAATTTATTAGTACATAATATTCAACGTTTCCCAAATTTTATTTACTTGAATTCTATGAAAAATATTGGTTGGTTGTTCATATGATCTTCTTCTATCCTGACTCTGAAAGTTAGAAACAATCATTACTTAATATTAATATTTTTTAATTTTAAGAATATTTATTTAATTTAATTTATTATTATTATTATTTTAAAATTTGCTGTAGGGCATGTGCATTTACCAGAAAGAGAGGGAGAAAGAGAATGAAATTCATTCCTAGATTCAAAAATTCACTGAAAACTAAAATAGCTCCATCCTGTGATATTTCTAGTAAGATACTTTTTGATGTAATGAAGTCAAAGTTAATTCAGTTATTCCAGACATTTATAGGACCTGTTTTGTTCAAAATGCCTTATAAATAGTAACTCACATAAAACTCAAGGACACTGAATTGTGTACATACTTTAGTAATCCCATATTAGAGTTGAAGAGACAGAGGAAGAGAGCATTTATAAATCTTGGCCAGCTCATACAACTAGTGACTTGCAAAATCTGGATTAAACCCAAGTGAGCAGTCAAGTCTAAACTCTTAACCATCAAGTTTGGGCTTCTCATGTTGAAATGATACTTAATTAAAAAAATAACTTTTATACAGGTATAGAGGGCTACGTGGTCTAATAAATTAAGGAGTATTATTACCGAGACTATTCACTGACCACAAAATCAGAAAAATCTCTGGAGATGTATTTTTAGCCATCTTCTTACTACCATTTGTCAATAAAATACATTGAATATTTTTTTCTGTCAGGGAGAACTTTTAAATAATTATCTACTGAATTCTGGATAATTACATGAAATAAAATACATGAAAAAGCAATTTTTTAGTAGTTGAATGACTTGACGTTGGTAAATTTTATTTTTTTATTCAGAGAAAAATAGGGCTTAAACTTACAAATTGGAAGCTGTAATTCTCTAAGCTCTCCATTTATTGTAAGAATTTTCATAGAAGACTACCACATTTTTAACATTTATAATTACTGAAAAACTGCTTCCTTAAAAGTGTTAATAGTTCAATAATATTTACCGAATATACACACTTTGTTTACAGGACACTTCCTGCTATGATTCCGGAAGCGTGTTAGATAAGGATTTCATTCCGCATATTTACACACTTTATTAATATTCCTGTCGCGAGGGACAGGAACGTGGATATAAGCTGGGGAGTTATAACTGGTTTCAGCAGCTGCCTCTGCTTTGATATACATGATGCGTAAATCAAGACAGTGGGCAAAAAAAAATGTTAATTGTAATTATTAGATCAATTTTGCTTGTTACTCAGATGCGCAACACTGTTGTGTAAACGTCATTTAACTTATTGCTAAGGATTACATTTCTTTTTTGGTTGTTGTCTCTTTTTTATTTTTTGGGGGGAGTTTTTTTGTTATAGGGTGCATGCACTCACCAGAAAGAGAGAGACAGAGAGACAGAAAAGGAGAAAAAGGAGAAATCACCCCCCAGGGGGGATGGCCTTGCCGCAATCCCTTCTCCTCCATTCTCCTCTCGGGATCTTGGGCACACACACACGCCCGGCGTGAGTTTAAGCCACCAGGTCCGGGAATCACTGTAGACTACAGGGCAGTCCAACGACAAGGCCGTTACGCTAACTGCCGGTCCCGGGGTTTATGTTTTGTTTTAACGGCTCGTTTCCTTCTCTCCCCAGACCGATACGTCCTGGTTGGCAGCAGGCATCACACAGCGTTCGGTCCAGGTGGACAAGCCTGGGGCAGCAGCACTGCAGTCGCCACCGCCTTCATCCGGGCCTTGATGCTCAGCGTGAGCAGAGGCTGGAGGCCCGCCCGCACCATCGTGTTCTGTTCGTGGGGAGGAACGGATTTCGGCAACATTGGCTCCTATGAATGGGGAGAGGTAACGTAAGATATAATGAATCATAATGCTTTTCTTCTTTTTTCTTCTTTGCTGAAATACACTAGATAAAATAACATTGTTGACGTCAAGGACAGGAACATCCTTCTCAAGTGAACTATCATCTGCTAATTTACTGAGATTCAGAATGAGGGGTCAGTAGATTTCGGCCACAGTAAACCGTGTGTGATCTTCAGATATTTTTTTCCATATTGCTTCAGATCTGCAAACCCTGACATAACCCACAGTATTGCTTAGCTGATTATCGTATTTCTCTTTGGAAGAGAGGATGGCAAGGGGACCAGATGGAAGAATGGTTACGTTGCCGGACGCCTGCGTAGTCAACAGCAGTTCGAGTCCCAGACCCAGCAGCATAGGACTCACGCTGGGTGGGTGTGTGTGCGTCCCCAAGATCCATAGAGGAGAACGAAGGAGGACTGCTATGTGGCCATTGCCCCTGGGGGTAGGGGGGTTATTTCTCGCTTTCTGTCTCTCCACACTCCCCATTGCAAAAATCTCTCTTTAAAAAAAAAAAAAAAGGATAACCAGTCCTGGACTGGAAAGGATTGTGTCATATATAACATTATCTTAAAAAAAATTCTAGGAATTACCTGAAATTAGTTAATAATCTCTTATATTAAATGCTTTCTACTTCAGTATTAGGTCATCGAAAAAGTCATGACATGTTTTCTTACATTTTTCTTTGCAAAAATGTGTCATGACTTTTTCATGACCCAATTATTTTATTTTTACTGTCTAAAGACTGGATTAAAATAGTGATCACCTTTTCCCTCCAGCCCTTCCTCCTTCCACTGCACCCCTGCTCCACCCCGACCCTCCAGCCCTTCCTTCCTGCCTGCCTACCTCTGCCTCCTGGCTCACCTTTACCTTGGGAAGCTTGTGGCCAAATGAACTCTCACAGGCAAAGGAGAAGCCAGAATCCAGCTGGAATTTCACAGCTTTCTCTGTCTGTGCCCCCCAGATCACTCCATTCGTGTAGGTAGTGCGTCATAGGCAGGGGCTGACTCTGCTTCTTGAGCAGTGGGCACTGCAGGTGCACACCCCACCTACAACTCCTCCATCACCATGCTCAGCTCTCAGGGTGGGCTGAGAATTGAACCCAGACCCCTCCATGTGGCCTCAACTTGCTGAAGATGGTGCCCACCCATGTGTGGGAACCCAGTGTCTTAACCACCATGCCACCTTCTGGCCCATGAGCGAACCTTTAAACTGACATTTATCAGATGAAAAATGTAATAGCTGGGTGAACCTTTCCAACATTTATTTTGAATTACTTTAAAGATCAGTAAGTAAGTTAAACAACAATTTACCAAATTGGATTGTTTCTAGTCATTTATGAACAGTGAAATATGTCCCAGTTCTTTTACAACAATAATACACATATTAAATGTTTTATGAATTCTTTCCAAATTATAAATATTTGTTTCAATTTTATCAGTCTTCTAGATACCTAGCTAGTAACTTTGTAATTATTTAATTTACTTTATTAATATTATTATTATTACTATTTTAAGGTTTACCATAGGGCACACGTGCTCACCAGGGAGAGACAGGGTGAGAGAGAGAGACGGAAAGTGAAAAGGCAGCCACTAGGTCCGGGACCTGGACTCCCGTCTGCCATGTGGGGTCAGTCCAGTGCCTTCACCACCACACCATATGCTGGCCTCTATCTAGTAGCTTTCACAATCAATTTAGATGAATTTTAAATTAATATATATTTCTGAACCGTGTTCTAAAGTAAGAACAGCTACCTTTGTAGCTTTTAACTTAAACATCCTGAACTCCTATGCACAGGAAATTGTATTGCAAAAGTCCTTCAACATATTTGAACATCAAACATCATAGCTTATCAATTGAATTAATGTGGCTTATATCTAGATAAGCAACTCTTTAAGTTAAGTAGGTATTTTTTGGTTAACGAAATACAAATTTGTTTTTAAATCTTAGCATACCCATTATATCTTTTAGTAGTTTTATATTTTCTCAATCAACAGATAACTAAAGATATAACTACTAGAATGTGGGTGTCCACAGGAATAAAAAACTATTGTTATAAAAGGCTGTTCCTATTAGGAAATATTGGGTATCATTGCCTCTGAATACTTAAATAGGTACATATGTTTTACTACTGATTACACATTCTGTCACTGTCTGGCTTTGTACACGACTAACTGAGCAATGAAAACGGTGAAATATAAACAGACTTGATCATCAACTTATAAAATATTTTTGGGGGATTTACTGCCTTTCAGAAGATTATTTTAATATAGTTCATAAAGCCATTTTTAAAACATCTGGTTGAAGGGAAGTAGAAAACTCTTAATTATCCTGTGCGGGCTGCTCTGACCCAATCTACTCCTTGAGAATGGAACATTTTCTTCCAGAATGAAACGGACTTACGCTCTCAGTGTGCTCCCTGGTGAAGGCCATTGAGGAAAGTCCTTGTTGATATATCATGTTGCCAAATTGAATTTTGCTTGTGTAGAAACCCCTGGAAACCCACAGCTGTAGTTAAGAGGATTAAGCGATGTTGGTCAATAACCTAAAAAGTGGATTTCTAGTGACAGGATTATTAGAGAATTCACTCAGTACTGATCTTGGTCCATGAGGAAAATTAAACATTTTGCTAAACAGATTCTTTACTTTAAAAATCATCATTTCTTGTGCAGATTGTCTTTGATTTTCACTGGCCATTGTGGAACTATTACAGATTTTAGAGTACAGAATTTAAGATTTTGAATACTCTGTTAAACATGTGGTCGCAGGCAAGACTCGGTTCTCTAAGACTCAACTCCTCAAACGCGAGCACTACTGCCTATCCTGTGAGGGTCTCGTGGAAACTATTTGTACTAACAGTGTCTATATGGTAGTGGATTTGAATTGTTGTCTTTTTAGTCCTAGTACAGAAGTCTGGACACATTTTTTAATATGAAATAAGGATAAAAGTGAGAACATGAGATATTTTCCTTTCTGTGCTTAACTTATTTCAAAGCTCAGCATAATGTTCTCCACTTGCACTCACATTCCAAATCACAGAGCTTTCTCCGTGTTTAAGGCTGAGGAGAACTCTGTTACGTATCTATGCCACAGCCACGCGTTTGCACAAGGAGCAGAATGGTGCTTGCAGTGACTTGGGGGTGGGGAGAGCAGACGCCTTGATGGTCACAGGTTACACGATCTTAGAAGGAATTTTTTTTTCAGTTCTGTTCTACAGCATGGTGTGTCACACCATAATATAGACTTGTGTGTTTTTAAATTTATAAGAGAGCAAATTTCAAATGTTCTTTCCTCAAAGAATGTTACGTATTTGAGGTGATGTGTATGTTAACTAAGTTGATTTCATTATCCCACACCGAATGAAAAGTCATGACATCACTTTGGGACCAGCAGTTAGAGTAATGGCTATGTCGCTGGACTCCCACGTAGGTGACTGCAGTTCAAGCCTCGGACCCGGTTGCTTAAACTCACGCCGGGCACGTGTGCGTGCGTGCCTAAGATACCAAGAGGAGAATGGAGGAGAAGGGATTGCGGTGTGGCCATCCCCCCTGGGGGGTGGATTTCTCGCTTTCTGTCTCTCTGCCTCTCTCTATCTGTCTGGCGAATGCACATGCCCTATAGCAAAAATCTCTCCAAAAAAGAAAAAATAGTCATGACATCACTTTGTAACCCATAAATTTATACAATTATAAATTGCCAGTGTACAATAAAAATAAAATAAGTAAAATCAAATAAAACAGACACATTATTAATTTGCTATGTGTGTAAGTCCTTGTAGTCTTTCAACGGATAGTGTTAAAACATGTAATTCCAAAGGCCTGCTTTAATTTTTAGTACATGTCTATAGAACTACCACCATAATAATTATTTACTATATATTTGTGCTAGGAAAACAGGAAAATAGCAGGACTTCTTAGGAATACTGTTGTAATAGGACCAGGGGTCTTCAATTTTACAGGGTAAGGCTAGAGGAAAAGTGAGAAATCACCCTCCTGGGGAGATGGCCTCCATTGTCCTCTCAGAATTTTGCACACGTATGCACACATGCCTGGCATGAGTTTGAAGCCACCAGGTTTGGGACTCAAACTGCCATAGGCTATGTGGGAGTCCAGCACTTTAACCACCATGCCACCTCCTGGCCCCAAGACTGCTTTTTTATAAAAGAAAAAAAAAGTACTTAAGCAATGTAATGATGTTAAGTGTGAAGTATTCATTTTCCATATTTAGTGAGTAGAATCTGTTATTTTTATTCATGTTAAAGAGAGACATGTGTTTGGATTTCAGGATTTCAAGAAGGTTTTGCAGAAAAATGCCGTGGCCTACATCAGCCTCCACAGCCCCGTGAGGGGAAACTCGAGTCTGCGTCCCGTGGCTTCGCCGTCTCTACAGCAGCTGGTAGCGGAGGTAAGGGGGGCGAGTCACGCCGTGTAACGCGACTTTGCAACATTGTCTTTTTCTTGATTTTTGGGCCTGTGTCGACTTTTTCTTTCTTTCTAACTATGCATAAAACGGTCTGCCAGAGTCCTGAAGAGCCACCTGCTGCTGACCTGTCACGGTGCCCCTTCCCCGGGTGGACGTGCACGGTCTCCCCTCGCTGCTCTCCGTGGTTTTACTTCTCCGTGGTGTGAATTAGACAGAGAGAATGCCCGTAACAGTGTAAACGGATTTGTCAAAATTTAATGCAGCTCTCGCGTTCCCGTTTCTGCAAGGGTGTCTTTTGTGGTGCGGCGGGTTCCTAGTGGATTTGTTCCCTTGCACCGCCTTTGAGTAGGGCCTAGTCCATCTTTTTAACTGTTATATAAGAGGGCAAGGGTATCGTGACAACTAAATTCTAAATGCTTCGGAAACATTGTTTAAAAATGATTTCGGGAAAAGGAAAGCATGTATTGTCCTACAAAGTAACTTGGAAGAAGTCATATTGTTTGTGGTTTCGCACTAGAGTTATTTATTTTAAATGTAGGGATTTCACAACCATTTCAAAGAATTTAATGGAACATGTTTTTCTGCTTATTAATAGATTTCGCACATTCATGTCTACATTCTTATTATGACTTTTGCTGTAACTAAAACACTACCGGGTATTTCTCAGTGTGAACTAACCAGACCCCCCTGAGCGCTGGTTTCCCTCCAACTCTGTGTCGATGGGTATGTGTTGGGAATGGCCTTTCAGACACCACAGGCTTCCTGTGAATATCACAAGAACTGAGCTGAAGAGGCAGGCAGTGAGCAGTGCCTGGGATTGGCCATGATTCTCGATTGAACTGTAGTGAAAACTAAGGTTTTCGTGGCTTTCATAAAGTATTTTCTAGTTTAGAGTTTTCATTGACATTTCCATATGTAGTATAATAAAAAAAAGACATTGTGGGAGATGAAATGGATAAATCTGTACATTTAAGATCGACAGAAACCTACTGTTCATGCCGTAAATTATGTCCCTGCTTGAAAGTTCATTTTTCTACAACATGCACTTCAAATTCATTGCCTCTCTTACCAGTTTGGGAAAAACCCCAAGAGGACATGAGCTCTGGTGTCATCCTTTGGAAGCTGAATATTTCTGGGTGGTCCTGGGGAGGAGAATATGGTACTCGGAAAATGAGGAGAGTGGTTTAAAATGCGTCTTTTCCCCCTCATGTGTTATAAGTTTTTAATTTTAAGAATCTTTGAGTTTATACAATCATTGAAATGTATGGGTGAGTACAAATAGCAAACTTAAGAAATTCCAAATCTATATGATAGTGTTTGAAATATCTTTCTGGGCTGGTTCTTTGGAAAAGTGTAAGGCGCTGCTCAGGGGAAGACAGGTCTCACATGGCGACCATGGTTCAAATCTCCAGTCCTGTCAGTCTGAAAAACGTGCCATGTAGTAGCCCGGCATCCAAGATCCAGTACGTCAATGCAGGAATAGAATTAAAACTAAAAACGGTAAAAGATGCAGGAAACAAGAAGTTGGCTGTTTGCTTATAAATGAATGTAGATTAAGAAAGGGATCTTTGGGGCCAGCAGGTGGTGGGGTGGTTAAGGCTCTGGAATCCAGCATGATCAACTGTGGTTCAAGTCCAGGACCTGGCAACTTGCTGTGTCATTCTCCCCCTCTCTCTCCCTCGCTCTCTGCTTCTCTCTGGTGAGCACACGTGTCCTGTAGCAAAATTAGAATAAAATAAATAAAATTAGATCATTATTTTTAAAAAGGAATGGATCTGTATTCAATAAATAGATTTTAGCTGCTGTTATCAAACACGCGAAGAGCAGCAAAGGGAGCTGATTCATATGTTAACCCACCTCACTACAGTGACCGCCGTGCTCTGCATGTGGGTGCGTGGATCTCTGTGGCTTATGTATTTTAAACATCATTTCATAAACCTCAAATATATACAATAAAATTTTATTTAAAGAAATGCTATGGGGCCACCAGGTGGCATGGAACTTAAGGCTGTGGATCCCACACGGCCAGTTTTGTCATTCCAGTCCTGATCCGGCGGCTCGAAGATCATGCTGGATGTGTGTGCATGGATGCCCAAAATCTCAACAAGGCATTCTTTACCAGGAGAGTGGAAGAGAAGGGATTGTGGCACGGTCATCTGATTTCTCTCTCTCTCTCTCTCTCTCTCTCCGACAGGTACACATGCCCCATAGTAAACCAGGGGGAAAAAAAAAAAGAAGAGAAACAAATGTAAATGATAATTTAAATATGTCTGCATATAAACATTTAATATCATTTGAAAAACTTATAAGTACTCTTAAAAATATAAAGGTTAAAGCGAACTAAAGGAAGTAAAACTTACAGCAATTCATATGATTTGATTAAAATAATTTAACACTGGTAAATGTAAATGAAAGATTTAGGGACCAACAGTTGGCATAATGGCTATGTTACTGGATTCCCATGTAGCCGACCGCAGTTCAAGTCTCGGACCCAGTGGCTTAAACTCATGCCGGGCACATGTGCATGTGTACCCAAGATCCCGAGAGGAGAATGGAGGAGAAGGGATTGTGGTGTGGCCATCCCCCGTAGGGGGTGATTTCTCACTTTCTGTCTCTCTGTCTCTCTCTGTCTGTCTGGTGAGTGCATGAGCCCTATAGGGAAAACCTCTCCATAAAAAAAAAGAAAGATTAAAAATACTTGTTTGAAAAATCAAACCCTTAAATTATAATGGCAGAGCATACATCACTTACAATGGCTAAGATATTTTTTCAGTTATCAAGAATAAAAATATTGTATTAGTATATTTAGGTTTTATTACTGTATACAGATCTCATATCTCATATAATCTAATATGAACAAGCAAAAATAAATTTAAAATAAATTTTCTACATTTTTTTAAAAGAGAGATTTTATTTTATTTTATTTTATTGGAGAGGTTTTTGCTACAGGATGCATGCACTTACCAGAAAGATAGAAACAGAGAGACAGAAAGCGAGATATCACCCCCCGGGGGGATGGCCATGCCGCAATCCCTTCTCCTCCATTCTTTTCTCCGGATCTTGGGCACGTATGTACATGTGCCTGGTATGAATTTAAGCCAGTGGGTCTGGGATTGAACTGTGGTTGACTACATGGGAGTCCAGTGACATAGCCATTGCGCCATCTTCTGGGTGTGCCCCACATTTAACTTAGTAGACACTGCCAAAGAGTTTTCCAAAATGATGGTAACAGTTACTCCCACCTACAGTGTGTATCTGTTCCAGTTATTACATTACCACCAACGTTTGAGAGTATCACTTTCACAAGATTATGTTGCGATCTTTGAGGGTTTTAATTCCTGCAATGATTATTAGTGCTGAGCATCTTCTCACATACTTATGTACTTATTGGCCAAGCGGATACCTTCTTCTTTTTGCCAAGCACTTGCTTAAATCTCTTCGCCATCTTTTTTTAAATTTTTTTCTTTCTTTTTTCTTTCTTGTTTCTCTCTTTTCCTATAGGGCATGTGTACACACAGGAGAAAGAGGGGAGTGAGGAAGCATCCAGAATGTATTTTAAGCTGCTGAGTCCGAGACTTGAACTGTGCAGTCGGCCATGTGGGATCCAGCAGCTTTAAACCACGATGCTGCTGAGCTGGCCCTGCCTGCTTTAAAAAGGAGTTATCTTTTTCTTATCGGGTTTTCAGAGTTAATATATTCTCAACCTGTCTTGACAGCTGTGTATTGTGACTTCTCTCAGTCCGTGGTTTGTGTTTTCACTCTCCTAATAGTAGCAATAAAATTTAATTACTAATATCTCTGTAGAAATCTTTCCAGGCTACATTTATTGTTCCAGAATCTTATTATGCAGAATAAGGTGAATGTAAGTTAGCATAGGATTGATAGTTGAGGAGCATTATAAACTTTTATTATACATTCTCTCATTCACAAATATTTACTCTCTGGTATGTGTGTGTGCGTGTCTGTCTGATATTTATAGGTGACTATATAATGTTATGTAGAAGTTAAAGGTGTGCCCAGGTCCTCTGAATGGTAGGGAATAAGTGATTCTAAGCACCAATTTCTTGGAAAAAGTCCTTTCTTGTAAGCAGTTTTCACTCTGTAAGTGTACACTGGCAGATACACAGTTCAGTTCCCTCTTAGCTAGCGACACACAACTGCTTTCATGCAAAATAAGTTATGAAATTAAAAGATTTCTCCCCCAAATAACAGTTTTAAACATTGGGGTACTACACAAACACATATGTATCTTTCTATACATATTACTGTTTCACCATGAGTTTTTGAAATCCTCTTTCATAGATCACAGCAGGTATTGATTTTGCCTCTAGAAAAACAGAATGTGATCATCCACATATTAGCAAGTCCCTGGTAAATAGTGGTGAAATTTCTAAGAGGTTACTTTTGGGAAGGCCTGCAGCATTTGTTCATATGAAAGTGGTCAATCTAGCCATATTTCACTTAAATTTTGCTTTTGAAGCAAATGCCACAAGCTGGCAAACCTGATCAAAGCTACACAATTGCATCAGTATTGTAGAACTCTTCAGGAGCCATACAGTGAAGAAAAAGAAAAAGACTTAGAAAAGTAACATATTATCCAATTTTACAGGATGTGTTTTAAAAAATTTCTTGTTTTGGGTCCAACAGTTGGCGTAATGGCTTTATTGCTGAACTCTCATGTAGTCAACCGTGGTTCGAGTCCTGAACTAGTAGCTTGAACTCACACCGGACACATGCGTGTGTGCCCAAGATCCCGAGAGGAGAATGGAGGAGAAGGGATTGCGGCATGGCCATCCCCCTGGGGAGTGATTTCTTGCTTTCTATCTCTCTGTCTCTTTCTGGCAAGCGCACACACCGTTGACAAAAATCGGTCCAAAAATGTTTTTGCTTGTTTTAATTTTTTATTTACAAAGTGCTGCCCACCTGGTGATACACTACATATATCCCAACTCAACTATGTTTCTGAGAGCATTGTTCCCAGA